GTGGTTTTGATCAGTAGCCATATTTAAAGCCGGGCAACGGCTCCAAAAACTTCTTCAGGCCGTGTAGCGTTTCGTGTATCCGGCCACCGACCTCAACACGGTGCCTTTCGATGATATGTCGATGTGTAACGGGGTGCCTAAGCTTGAAGGAATGTTTGAATGCACAGCTGCGATAATAAGCGAGTGCAGAAGTGTTCCGAGGGATCCCACTGCCCAGAAGCATGGGAGACTCTCTAATTTTGGCTCGTTCGGTGCCAGATTGGGAGGCAGGCTCTTTTGCAAGCAACAGTAGATGGTCTGGGATATGTCAAAGCGTCACCCTCTGTCATTTTCTTCCCAATTTGGGCCGAGATCTTCCAGCCAACTTGACGGGAAGCAAACAGATAGCTAGCTGCCGGTAGCAGAGTCTCCAGAACCTACTCGACCGCTTCCAACATTATCCAAAAGCAGGATCTGATTGCAGCTTGTACCCTGAAGTGCAATGCGTTTCTGGGAAATTCCATGCAAAGATTGTTCATGCTCCTGTTCTATCACAGAACAGGAGCCGGAGCACGTCGAATCTTGGGATCACAGCTTGAATTCCACTGCCTGCGGAAGCTGCGCATCTTCAGTGTGGAGCTCCGCAAGCATCTTCCCAGTGGACGTTTTCTGTGCTTTCAAGACATGTGCAGCCAGTGTGATCTTGAATGAAAAAAGGTGCTGGTAAGCATATTATTGGATATCATGTGATGGGCAGTCACAGGTCTCTTTCGTTCAATGCAGCCAGCTGGCCACGACTCATGTCATTATTGTCGTGCCTGACGCTGAGGGCATGGCCTGCTGGTAGTTCTGCTCCTCTGTCCCGAATTATGTGCGCCTCCTGTTGACCAGTTGCCCATCGAAAGTGCTTGCTGAGTCAATAGCTAAGACCTGTGAAGACCAGGCAACAACCGTTTGAAGGTGCCAGCCAAGTTATCGCGCTATGTTGCCACACTAAGAGCAACATTTATTTACTACAGGAGTGTACAGTAACTTCCAGACAACAATGGAAGGAGGAAGGATGGCAACTAGGAAGGAAGCGAGGGAGCGCGCAGCAAGGGCGGAAGGGAGATGGACAAGAGTCTCAGAGGGGCGTGTGCGTATCGCTGGGAAGATGGCGATGGTCAAGCTGTCAAGACGACGCACAGATTCAAGAAGAAGAAGAAGAAGATTCAGAAGAAGATAATGGTCGTAAGGTTCTACGGCATGTTCTCACTGAAGAGGGGATGGAGTGACGTTGATTGTAAGGCTCCCCATGCTTGCAGAGTTGAGCAAAGCGGTGCGGAACACTTCTGCAGTGAGGTGCATTCCTCAAGATTATTGAAACACATAGTCAGTTGTGAACAACGTCCAGACAATTTTCAGATACAAACTGAGCTCCAATTAAGCAAGTGTCAGGCATTGAATATGGAGTGAGCTGGGCCCGATTGCTGTTTCTGCTCGCTGCATTCTGCAATGTTGGGCAGCAAAAGAGTACAACGCACACGGGATGGCACATGTACCGAAAGGTCCGAAAGGTGTGGAGTCCAGATAGTGTAGCCCAGAAATTGCCGAGCATCCAGGGCATTTGGCTTTACATGTCTCTACTTCTCAAACTAGATACTAGTAGGTAGTTGAACGAGATTGCCACACTGATGGCGGGGTCGCATGATGCTTTACATGCGGAGGCCATTTCTGGAGTCTTGCATGCTTGAAGTATCTTGCAAAGCATACTGCAGGAGGGTGCAGCGAAGGGGGCAGAACTTCAAGAGACAGATGAAGGCAGCGATTACGACGAGGACGTGGCGACGCACATTAAGAAGTTGCAGCTAGCAGCGCTTGGTACAAGTCCGCTTGTTTTTTGTTTGGAACTGTTGTCACTTGAAGGTCTGGGAATGTGTCTCCTTCCAGCCACAGCCTGATTTCGCTTGATCTTGAAAATCTTGCGCAACCTCCGTGAGAAATCAGACAGTGGCCTGAACCTGACCGGAAAACCGCAGCGTTGAGCAGACATGTGAGGGGAAGATTTAACCACAAAGCTAGGACAAGGCCTTTGACAGCAATCTGCCAAGCACGTCCAAGGCTTTCAGCAGAAGATTGAATCAAAGTTTGATGAGGCGAAACGTGCTTCTGATTTGTGCTGTAGGACGCGTGGGATGACTACTGGCCTTCCGTCACGCTCTGAGTATTGCACTGGACCGATCGAGGGCCTTGAAGCATGATCTGGCAGGCAGGTTCCGGGAGGACGGATCGGAACGCTGCCTGCACTAGCAGCGCCAAGCAGGCAGTGCCGCACTTGAACCAGTTGAGCCGGCTGCAGACTGCACAGCCGAACGTTTTGTGATCTACCAATCATAGCAAGACCATCTGCAGGGTATCGGCTCAGCTTGTGTTGCAATGGCTCCCTGAATCCGGGCCATGCGAAGGCCGCAATGCCATGCATTGCGTTCCGGTGAAGGGTCAAGCTCCTACGAAGATGAGAAGTATTTGAGCGTCCAGGATTTCTCAACTCTACTGCCACTGCCAGCTGTCGTGCGGTTGGGAGAATATTTGCAGCAGTGGCTCTGGACCTATGCGTGGCATTTGCCCCTGCAAACGATACGATTGACCGCCTTCTTTGCCAGGCTGTTTCTTTATGTTGTCTTTCTTTTGCCTGGCTTGATATTCGGACTCGTGTATTGGGCATTTGCCGGCGAAAACATTCTCAGCGTCAACTACAAGGCAGGTTTGGCTGAATCTTGCTGATTCAGGTCATACTCTTGAGGGGTCTCCTGTGACAGGCTTTTGTTCTATCTTGCGTTGTTCCACGCTGCGCAAAACTTTTGATGCCAACATTTGTCCCTTGCCAGGACAAAGGAGGCCTTCGCCACAACTGTGACATTTATCTTCCAAGCCATCTCAATCACAAGGGCAAACCCGACCAGCCTAAAGCGCCGGCCCCCTGATTGCAAAAATTAGCATTAGTGCGAGCTTCCCTGGAGAACTTGCAAGTCACCATGATAACTAATGTACAGGGTGTCTCACTCATTGGAAAACTCCTGACTCAGCATGCCACAGGGTTGCTGATCACTCCCGTTTGTCGGTGGGTTATTTCGCATGTAGTTTCGGGCCGCAGCATGTGGGATGACGATGTGCAAGGTCATGATCATCATTCCTGGAGGCGCTTTCATCCTGGGTCATAAGGCCTACGTGACCATGCTTTGCAGAGCACTGCGGAGCGTTGGATTTCTCTGCATCGCTGTTGACTATCGCTATTGGCCTCAAACCACAATTGACGGAATGGTGGAGGACGTGAATGAAGCTGTTGCCTGGTCTGTGCAGCACTGTGCAGATTATGGCGGCGACCGGAAGCAGATAGGGCAGCTTGCTCTCAAAATATCTCATGGCGTTCCAAGACGAGGTTCAGTTTCTAGAACGGCATAGAGCCACAGTTCAGCCTTGACAGTGTCTATGAAATTGGCTGAGGATTCTTGGGCTCTCGTCGGGCGCACACGTTGCTGCTTTGCTCCTTACACGCCGTGCTGCCACAGAGGAGAAGGAGATTTCCGCAGGAGGCGTGACAAGTGTTGCTAGGTAGACAAGAAGGCGTCTTCGCCGAGTGCTTCAAGGTTTCGAAGTTGCGTATTGGAGTGTAGGAGGCCAACAATGTTTTTGGGTATGCGGACAGCTGAATCCCGCAGAAAAAAAACAATGAATGCCAGACCACTCAAAGCCATAAACGAGTGCCGGACTAAGCATCCAATCTACTTCACTTGATCCTCGATCGGAAGCGTCATTTGGAAGGCTGGGGGCTTAGTTTTAACGCCAGCGCGCAACCGCTTCTCTCAGATGGCGTGGAGGTAGTGTACGTAGAGATATGTGGAGAATCTTAGAGACATGTTGAGAATCTGAGCATCGCGAGCGGACTGTGAGCAGCGGGGCGGGAGGAGAAGGGGCATGACAAAAAACCTAGGCCGAGGGAAACGGTATAGCAGCAGGCAAAGGCTGGAACCTGGTCTGCCCGTTCCAGACGCCTGCCTAGGTCTGGAGGCCCGCCCTAGTCAAAGCTTACAGAAGGCAATGCAAGCATTGCATGCCACAGTGCTGACCAACAGATCAACACCTGAAGGTCCAGCACTGCAGTCATCCTGGTCAACCTCAGATATTCTTGGCTTCATCGGCTTAGGAGGGATCTATCACCTGCATGGCCGCTTCATGTCGCACTTGCATGCCAAAGGCATCGACTTCGTGCTACAGCGTCTTGTTTTTGGAGAGACTGAAGCCATACGCGAGAGCCGATCGCCAGCTGTCATGGTTCGTAGATCTCAAGGCTTGGCCGACCGCCTGCCTCCAGTCTTGCTCGTGCATGGCACGAGTGACAAAATTGTGCCGCAAGAGCAGTCAGAAGAATTCCAAAAGACTTTGTCAGCGTTGGGTGCCGATGTACAGCTTGTGTTCAGCCCTGGCGAAGGCCACAACGACCCTGTGATCCATTCGCCATTAATGAGCAATCATGACACAGTTCAGGCTATCCTGTTGGCTATGCGCCGTTGGGGAGCGCAGTATCCTTTCAGCGCCAGCACAGACAAAGTGGAGACCGCCGATGACGAAGACGCTTTAAGCACTTCTGTCGATGAGCTCTTCGGAGCACTGCCCAAGTGGCCTCGGACTCCAAAGTCCGCCGGGATCTCAGACTTTGGTTTCAGCAAGTGCCGCTGCGTGCCTGCTTAGCATCTCAGGTCATTCAAGTCGCACGCTTGCTGACTCCATTCTGAGACAGCACTAACCAGTGCTGAAGGGCGATGTGATGTTTTGCTTCAAGCGACTCTTTAGGACAGCTCGCAATCGTAGCAGTTCTCATGTTTGAGGAGGACGCTGCCCCTCACACTTTGCTCTGATTTCAGAGGAGCTGAATGTTCTCTAGTGTCCCTGGTGCAGAGTACTGCGCTCTGAATACTGAGTTTCGCATGACTGCTTACAATCCAGCTTCAAGCCGTTGCCTTCCTCCCGAGCAGTCATCGCGGACAGAATTAGCAAAATCCGCGTTCAGGCCCAGGTTTGGCTTCCGTGATTGTTGAGATGTATGTGAGTGTTGCGCAGGCGGTGCAGAGGCTGCAGGCACGAGTGAACTTTGATCCTCTGCCAAGAGCTGGAAGCATGAGCAGGGTCCTCAGAAAAGACAATGTTGAACTCCAGACAGCCACAGCGAAAGTGAAAGTGAATGCTGCCAACACCATCTTGTGTTCATACACAAAGCAGCTCCGCAAAACTGCTTTTCTCCCTACATCAAAAAAGTCGGCAACTCTTGATTTCAATCGGAAGCATCTCACAGCCAGGATTCTGATGGCCTTTCAGACAGATTCGAGGGTTGATGTACCATTTTTTGCATTTTCTTTGGTCTTGCCTTCTGAAATTCGATGCTCTGTCTCGGGTGGAAGCTAAGAAAGATCCAGGGCAGTCAAAAAGGGACGTTCGCACGAATGGTTGTCAGGCCATGCTGCGCAGAACTCTGCCATCCAGAGTGAGCGTAAGGCTCGCTTTTGGAATCTGCAGGGACTGTTTAGACATGTTGATACTGTTCACATTTGTTCACTTCCTCTCTATGAGCCTCCTGGGCTGAGCTGTCTGGGTCCAGGGCCTTCCATCAGCAGTGTGCTGCCTGCAAAAAGCCAGCAAAGGGCCTTCAGAGAGGATCAAAGCAGATTATGTCGCCAAATTGTAAGGCCAATGGCGGATTGGATTGCACAAAGTCATGGGGTCCATGATTGTGTTTTGGAGGAAAGATTTTGCAATATACGAGCTTATTCATGCTCTGGAGCTCAACATGAAGCTCGAAGCAGATATCTATCGCAGAGCAGGTGATAACATGCAGATTTTGAGAGGACTGTATCCGGATGGCTCGGCCCTCTAATACGCAGTCTTGACATGTCTTGACACCGTGCTTCTTGTCTGAGCCAATGATAAGTTTGATATAATATAATATGTCAGCAGAAGCGTCCTGTTATGTCCTATTGGTTTGCAATTCGCGGTGCGCCATTGCCTTGTTGATGTCCAGCAGGCTGCAGCTTTTCGGAATTTGGGGCTCACGCAAGACTCCCGCGCTCGCAGCTCAGCGAGTTACTGCGCTTGCACTTGCCCGAACTAGATCCAAACCGACAGTGCTGCAAGGCAACTGTGGAGCAAGTCCTGGACCCAAGAACAATGCATGTTCTAAGCAAATTCCTGAAGCGTGGCCTTTTTGTCAGGTGCTGAGTGAACGATTCCCAGTAGCTCTGCCCAGCGAGCTGCGGAGTGTAGCTGAGGACGAGATTCATGGGTGCATCAGCACAGGCAAAGAGGCCAATGCAAGTCTCCCAGACTCCCAGAGCCTTGAAGCCCTTTTTTACTTTTATTCCTGTTGATGGTTGGTTAGTGGTCACTGCCCAGGTGTACTATGCTACCTCTGGTGATGGCATCCAGCGGGCGGTGAAGGCAGGAACCCTAAAGCACTGTCATGGCAAGGTGCGCGAAGACATTCACTAAGTAAAAGGGGGCCAGATCCATACAAACGGTATTTCGACCAGCTTGGGATGCTGCTAGTTACCAGCGACCAATAATATCAAGCACCGCTGATCATTCACGGTCTTGCGTCTAGGGCTATGAGGCTCAATACAGCCAGATCCAGCTTGAACGCGCCTTGTCAAGACCTTGCTGCTTCAAATTCAACACACTCAACAAGGAGTCACTGCGCTGGTTTAAGAAAGGGTTTTTGCCCGGAGCAAGGGTTCGAAAACGCTCGTGGTAATTTCAGTTTTAGTGTGATGAGCCTGCGCGAAAACCATTGTGAGCCAAACTGTGCGCGCGCAAACTCCCTCAAGCTCCGCGCAAGCACGGCGCAAACCCCCGACTGGAGATGAACAAATATTGAACACCATTGGCCCGGAAGTCTGTCTGCATTTGGGTTTGAAGTTTGAAGAGGTGCATATACGATGTAGTCCAGGGCGCACTTTTCAGAAAGTCATCTTTTGCCGATGTAACGACGAAGGCGCTTGCCTCAAGATTGGTTTTGCAGAACCCTTGGGCAGATTCAGGGCCTCCTGGAACCTTGCAGGGAGCATTATGCGTAGCTCAAAAACCCCTACCTGACAAATTATGTGAAAGGTGCGCGCGAAAGGGTTCGCGAAAGGTTCAGCGCAATCAATCCAGCATGGCCTTCGCAGTGCAGCCCACTAAGCTTGGCAAGCCTTGTTGCTGGAAATATCCATGCAGTTCATGCATCAAAGCCTACGCGCCGTATCTAGAGTTTCGCTGGACAAAAAGCACGAGGGGATTCTCAATTTCTTGGCAAGTGATTTCTTCAACGGTGCCATAGAGGAACCTTTGTGAATCTAAAACTCATGCATTCAGCGCAGCTACTTGCAACTTGCAACATGCCTTAGATAATTTTGTTTCCGCAGCGAATGAAGCAGCCGGATGCCGGTCCTTTTTGCGTTGCCAGGGGATGGCAGTAGTGTGGTTGTCAGCCTGCCAAATGGCTGCCAGTGCGGTCAATGAACGCCCTGCATGGCAACATGCATCTGTTGTTGAATGGTGACTTTTCGACAGTTGCTGTTCCGATTCTGAAGCGAGCCGCAACTAGAATGTAAAAAGATAATGGCTGGCACCCGAAAGGAAGGGATGTTCTTCTGTTGCTAAAATTTCCTTCAGTGGTGTTAAGACAATGACTTGTTGATGCAGCAAGAGTTGGGGGCATACACTGGTCACCATTGCAGCTACACTTGCCGGGCTGTTCCGGATTGTGGGCCTTTGTCTGAGATACTTTGTTCGTGGGAGCACAGGCACAGGCATGATCCCATGACGCCTTTTTCGAACAGCTGTTGAGAGTGCAAAACCTACGCAGGCACTAGCGGCATGTGCCCGAATTGCACGGAACTGTCTTGGCTACGGTCCAAGCTCGCAACTTCTGTGAGTAGCTGTGCAGGTCTACAAGACATCCATCCTTGTCTTCAAGGATCGTGCCCGGTATGTTGAAGGCGAGTTTCGCTTTCGGCAGGCACGAGGGCGCTGAAGGTGATAACGTCGTTGTTCTTTGTCAAGCCTTCCCTGTTAGGGCTACTGCAAAGGCAACCCGCGGAAGATGGTCGCTCAGTGGGCAGAAAAGGAGCGCGAGCAATCTGCAGTACACTACATGCCCAGGGATTTGTTGGAGCCCTGTGCATTTCTACCTATTCTTCCTTCCATCCTGCTGCCTGAGTGGCTGCGCTGCGCTGGATGCAGCTACACCAGTACCTGGCAAAAACAAATCCGTAGATCTTCCAAGGTAGCCGAGGCTGCACTTGCTACCATGCAACATCGATGAGACTTCGGGATTAAAATTGTACTACTGTACCAGAGAACGAAAATTCATCCGA